GGGTTTAGGGTTTAGGGTCTCTGGCTTCTGGGTGTGTAATGTAGGGGCTTTACTAAGTAGAATAAGGTTTTGGGTCCTTTTAGAGTATACTTATCATAAGGAACCCCAAGGAATAATGTAGGTAATTTTTTTAGGCCCCTATATTAAGCTTAAGTCTGACGGCTTGGAGGTCTACGGCTGAGGTCTCCGAACTCAATAGTGTTGACGGACTACCCATATAAGGGCCTCAATTCCCTTCGGGGCTCTAGAGGGGTCTATATGGGCCTTTAGATATTAAAAGGATTCGGCGCAACAAAAACGCAAGTTCTGAGCCCGATACCCCTGGAGCCCTGCGAACAAAGCCCCAAAGCCCGCAAGCCTAAACCCACAGCCCTCAATCCTAGATCCTGAACGGCCCTAAACCCCTAAACCCTAAACCCCAAGCCCCAAAGAACTGCAACAAAAAAACTGCAAGCCTCGAAACCCTACCCGAAAAGTACCGAAACCAAGGCACTGCAAGGAATAGACCGCAATCAACAAGGCAAGAGCAATCCTCCGGCTTCTGTTCAGCTTCGGCTTTATGGCTCTGGGCCTTTGTGTTTAGGGTTTAGGGTTTAGGGAGGGCCAGGCATGGGTTTGGCGGGTTGCATGGGGGTTTAGGATTTAGCGTGGAGGGTTGCAGGGTAGAGCGGGCATCATCTATGCAGCTGCACGTTTCCAGCATCTGTTGTGGTGGTGGTGGTGGCGGTGGTGGTGGTGAACAAGAGTAGGCTTGTTAGTGTGAACCCAGGATAGCCCGAACCCTCGACGCCATTCGCTAAGACATATCCAAGCTTCTGGGCATTGAGGAAGGACGTGGCTGACCAGGGAGGTGAATCGAAAATGATAGCGTCCATGACCTCGGCGATGCAACGAAGCACGAGCTTCCTTCTCTCTACGGCACTCCGTTGACATGGACACGGTGTGAAGCGAAGGAAGCCCTGCACACCTAAGGCACCCTGAATGGACGACATCCACCCGAAAAGGCTCTTGACAGGTTCGCTTCAAACTCTAAACCCTAAACCCCAAGCCCTAAACCTTGAACCCCCTAAACCCTGAAACCCCCTGAACCCAAAGCCCTACACCCTAAACTCCAAACTCTAAACCCTAAACCCGTGTTTGCTTGGCACAGGAGCCTCTGAAGCTCGACAAAAACCCCTCAGGGCGAGAGTCGCGGGCTTCCCATCAGCAGCACCCAGAAACTGATGGTGAGAACTGTTTAGGGTTTAAATTTAGGGTTTAGGGTTTAGGGGTTTAGGGGTTTAGGGTTTAGGGTTTAGGGGTACTATAGAACCCATTCCATTTCCCCATGGACTTAAACATCTCCAAGCAGCACAGCTGTCGGGGGTTGACGCCATGCCCGACAGCTACCAACCATGACCAAGAAAGAGACACATGTTATCGTTTGTTGTGTAATATGTCCAGTCCTTCAGCACACATGATCCGATGCAACACGATACAGCTCGGTATTGTGCAGTACATGTATGTACGGGAAGAGGAAGAGCAGAGGACAGCATAGCACAGTATAACAAGGCACGCTCGTTGACACCATACCGCAGGATAGTACTTACCTAAGGCCGACTGTAAGCCCTAACCTGGGGTACGGGAGCTTGCATGCCCCGCACAAAATCACCTCTGTGTCCCGGCATGATGCACTGCAGGAACTGGTTCAGTGCACAGGCAAATAAAGATAACCCTAATAGTACATAACATAACTTTACGAGGAACCTTCCACCAAATTTCGGGCCACTTCAACGCAGCAAACCTGTCGGCGTGACTCGGTCTAGCCTGATAAAGCTGGAAGTAGACTGCGCTTTGCAGTGTAGCGCACTACAAGACTACAACTGGACTATACACATCTCCCGAATGACGGTTGAAGCGCCTACGTTATACCAGGCCAGCGGCAGAGAGGAACGCTGCAGCAAAACACATGACCCCCAGGAAGAAGATCTTAATGCCCATCGTGCGCCAGAAAGTGATCAGGGATGTTCCTGGTGCCGTGTTGCAGGAGGAGAGACACATATACTCCCCGTTTTGGGTAGCTGTAGGACCTGGCCGGTTATTCGAATAAGGTCATTGCAGTTCTGGGTACAGGTACATCGGTGGCTTGAACTCCGTCCATTCAGAGCAAGCTATCATCGTACTGAGATCTCTCTTGAGTTGACATGTTGCATAGTGCGTTCCCCTACTGTGCACTATCGTTCTCCGGAGTCTGTCCCAGTCTCGCTTACTCCACCAAGCTGCTTCGTGTGCATATGTACTGACCTCGAGTGCACGGCAAACATGTTGCAATGCTACTCCGTGTTGTATTCCAAATATCTCACAAGTTACTCGATGATGTGCTCTATGTGCGTGCGTGTCTGCATGTGCGACTTCGCCTCTTGCTCAACAACTTTGGCTAGCGTAGCATCCACGAGCCAGTATATTCTGCTACCATCCATTCCGAAATCCTCTGCCGCACCTGGAAACACCACCGTCTGTTCTAGGGCTGTCGGGTTCGGCAATGAACAAACCAGCGATGCAACGAAATTGAGCAGTAGCCATGATAGTAGCCATAGTAATAATAACCTTATTATAATGGTAAGCATTATCGTAATTTTCTTGTCTAAACCCTAAACCCCAAACCCTACTCGTAGCGAACCAGGAGCGCAGGGTGTAGCGGAAGTGGCTGCAGCAGCCCGGCATCGTTCGCTTTAAGTCGGTAAGAACCTGCTGCAGGCACGTCAGGGCTTAGGGTGATAGGGCTTGTGGAGGCTTCATAACGGGGAGGGTTATGATGGCAGCTATAAGGGAGTACCTTCCGAACCCTATATTGAAAAGGTTTCGATGCTTTGGGGAAGGGTTTCCGAACTCTTTGCATGATCAGGAGGCTTAGTAAGTTATGAGCGGGATTCGCACATGCGTCAATCTCAATCGAGGCATTTCTAATCCCCATGCTACTCTGCAGCTCTTTTGTACCAAGCGGCCAGTGTGGTAGTAGTATGAGACATGGGCAGGTTCAAGTCTTGGTCGCTCGCCTGCTGATGGACTCTAAACCCTAAACCCTAAACCCTAAGCCCTAAACTGGAGGGATCGATTTAGTCTGCGGTTCAGGTCTGGGCTGTGGAGATTCGGATGTCCCGGGTCGGTTTCGAACTTCGGTATCCCTGATTACAGCACGCAGCCTTTCAGAAAGTCCTGGGTCTAAAGAGCTTCTTGCTGGTTCCATTTCTGTGAGGGTGTGGTGATTGCGAAGCTAGCGGCTAGCGGCGACACTAATTGTGGCATGCGGTGCTGCTGCTCACGACAATTGGCGTACTGATGTGGATTCGGAGGATGATGATGATGATCATGATGATGATGATAATGATGATGATGATGATAACGAGTTTCCTCGTGCCGACGAAAAAATGTCGGTGATGCTGGTTGTGATAATGGCGATGCTGAACATGATGATGCTCACATTGATCGCAATGCTGGTGACTGACAGTGCTGGTGGATCCTGCATTGCGGCAGCTTTGCTGATGGTTGCGGCAGTGGCGATGGTGGTGGTGATCCCGGTGGGTGACTGTGGTGACGTTGGTGGTCATTTCAACTGCCACGGCTGCAACGACCACGATGCTGCTGAGGATGCTGGTGATGGTGATGATGACGACGATGCGATGGTGATGGTGATGGTGATGGGGATGGGGATGGGGATGGTGATGGTGATGGTGATGGTGATGGTGATGGTGATGGTGACGGTGATGATGACGACGATGATGATGATGGTGATGGTGATGATGATGGTGATGGTGATTGTGACGATGATGATGATGACGATGACGATGCTGATGACTAATCTGGCTGCTGCTCCAAAGTTTCACCTCGGTCGACCGGTTCGGTCCGCCCGTGCCCTCCTTGAAGAACTTAGCCTGCGGTGCCTGGCCAGTACTTGAGTCGGAATCGCTCGACTCATCCACGGTCTCATCTGACGACTCCTTCATACGGGAACCACGGCTTGCTGGCATTTATGGTTCAGGCAGGGCCTAGGATTTACAGCTTTGGGTCGGGTTTGGTTTCCCGAGGTAGCATTGCATCGAACGGCGCTGCAATTTCAAGATCCTAGTTACAAGCCATCAACCACTGGGCTGTTGCTCCGTATCTTGAGATTTGCTGGGTACACTTGTAACACTGATAGCCACAGACAATAACAGTTAGATCAAAATCTGGATATGACTGCATTGCAACGTGCAATTGCTACGGCCTCGCCTGTGACATTTACATGTGCGACTCGGCTGTGGTGGCTCTGCTAGCGCCCAAAAGCAACGAAAAGACAACAGTTTGCAACCTCAATATCGGCTTCTCGGCTTCTTTTGTGCTTCGCTTGCCGAGCTCAACACATAGCATCAGGTTCAACAGCATAAAGACTCTTTTGTTGTAAACATACAGGTGGCGCTTAATGCTGTTGTACATATAGCCGGACATTAGCCCCAGGCGGAGGATTTCGTGTCGCATTCGCCAACGCCCTCTATGAAGCCCATCCTGCGGGAAGATCTATGGGCAAAAATATTACCATAAATTACTGTTGTCGTCGTGGGGGGTTTGGGGGGTAGTGGATTAGTAGCAGCAGTCATAGTAGGAATAGTAGCGCCAGTAAGAGTAGAAGTTCCAGTACCAGTAGCTGCAGCAACAGCAGTCGTCGTCGTCATCGTTGTAGCAGTAGTAGTCGTAGTCGTAGTGGCAGCAGTAGTAGTATTGGTCGTCGTCGTAGCAGTAGTAAAGTAGTAGCAGCTGGAGTCGTAGAAGCAGAATCAGTGGCAGTAGCACTGGCAGTCGCAGTGGCAGCAGCAACAGCAGCAGTAGCAGGAGTAGTGGCAGCAGTAGCAGCAGCAGTAGCAGTCGCAGTAGCTAGTAGAAAGTAGTTAGAGGTTAGTAGGTAGTACTTAGTAGGCAGTAATTTGGTAGTTAACAGTTTGTAGGTAAGAGTAGTACTAGTGGTACTTGTGGTCGTAGTGGTCGTGGTCGTGGTCGTCGTGGTCGTCGTGGTCGTCGTGGTCGTCGTCGTAGTGGTGGTTGTGGTGGTGGTAGCAGTAGCAGTAGCAGTAGCAGTAGCAGTAAGAGTAGTAGTAGTAGTAGTAGTAGTAGTAGCAGAAAAACTAGAACAGTACTAATTAGTAGCAGCTGCCATAGTCGGGGTTTGGGTTGACCCTACGGAATCACGGTGTGAACAAAAGGTAGCTTGCAAGTCAGAGGTGTGCTGGGGGAACCCTTGCCACGCGGTGGCAGGAAAACAAAGGGGAGACCTGCTCAAAGATCTGAGAATTTGTTTCTCTCTCGCATGGCTGAGGTTGTGGGCATCGTGATCTGAGAAGTAAGGTTAACGGGTTAGCAAGGCTTGTCTGGCAAAGCCTGTCGCAAGTGTCGCAAGACAAGCTCCCTTGACTTGGCTTTCTTCGAAAATCCCTCAGTTGAAACTTCTTGTTGCAGGTCTCCCCTGCCACGTTTGGGGCTCGAGAAAGTCTTGTACTCAGTTCCTCAACGCTGCAGAAGAGGCTCCTCAAAGACGCGGTAAAGCCTCGAGTCCAGATCCGTGGATTTTGTCGCAGTCTTTTTTTCTCTCTCTCTCTCTCTCTCTCTTTCTCTTTCTCGCATGACCTCTCCGTCTCGCTCTATCTGTCTGTCTGCTTGTCTGTCTGTATGCATCTTGGGGAGGGAGTGGCCGGCAGGATTGACGCATAGTGTGTAACTTGCGAAACCCTGGAACTGCTCTCTCCGATCAACTTGAATGCCCATGGCGAGCAGGAGGCAGCAATCGAGGATTTCAGGGTTAGGGCTTTCGATGCGAGCTTCGTAAACTACGAGTCCCTATTGGAGCGTGAACATCCAGCAAGATGAACCTTAATTAAAAGCGGGCCTCAGGCTGGTGGGGGAATGACAAGCCGGTCGCATCGCGACGGCAGCATCGACTCAAACCCTAAACATAGCCTCAATAACTTAAAAAGCTGTACATGAAGCACCTACGCAGCAGAGCACATCTCGACCTCAACCTCACACGAGCTGATCCGAAGACTCTGCGCAGGACTCTATGTCACCCACCTTAAAGCCCTCAACCCTAAAATAGTCTAGTGGCCTTAATAGTTAGAATAGGGTTTGGGATATATTACTCTATAATTATCAATAAGGAACCCCCAAAACCCTGTTCTAATTATTAAGGCCCCTACATTACCTCGTCAAGTTGCACAGAGAAGACCATGCCAGAGATCCCGTTAGCAGCAATACCTCAGCTGGGAGCCCGAAGCAGCACATACAAGAGCATGTGGGCCTTAATAAGTACGATAAAGTGAGTTCTTGGAATATTCCAAAATGCAATTATATGGGGTTCAGGGTGTATCCTTGCCAGCTGTTTCGACTCTTGTGAATAATTAGTCATACTTTGCACTGGGTTTGCATTGGGGTGTCAAGCCTTGAGGCTTTGGGGTTCTTAATTTTGTATATACTTTGATGACTACCGGCCAGGGCTTGTTTCAAGCAGGACCCACTCCACTCATTGCGGTTGCGAGGAACATTCAGATGCAACAACCATGAACTACCCCAACGTTTCGTGGTCCTGGGCTTAGGGTCTTACTGCTGCAGGACAGCACCGATTCGGGTTTAAGGCTTCGAGAGCACACATTCAAACCTACAATATATACATATATATATATATATACATACATATACATAATATATAATATAATATAATAAAATACAAATGAATAAATAAATAAATACATATATATATATATATATACACTTATTTATGTATAAATAAATAAATAAATAAATAAATAAATAAATATATATATATATATATATATTCTCGGCTACTCCAGAGTACTTCTTTGTGTCAGGGCACGGGTCGCCAAGCCGCGACTCAAAAGGCCGCTTAAGCCATCCTGGCTTTGGGGAAATGCAATCTCGGATTTGGGGTTTCGAAAAATCGGGGACCCTACTAATATAGTACCCTAAATAATAGGTTCGTTATTGTAAGGACCCCCAAAATAAGGACCCTGGATTTGGGGCTGGGGATTACTTTAAAGGAAACTACAGGTGGGGGCTTCTATAAGGCTTCCATGAGGTATATAGACCCTCTATAAGGCTCCTATAACGGTAACTACCTTAACCAACCAAAACCCACTTTTTTGTAGGTTCTTATTACAAACCCTAATATGGGATTTATAGGGACCCTACGAAAAAGTGGGTTTGGGGTTCTTAAGGTAAGTCTCAAGCCCTGAATCCCTAATCAACGCTTCCTCCCATCTACACCCCGTCTGACGCTGCATGGTCGCTGTTCAAAGCACCTGTGCCCCAAACAAGGCACAAGGTAACTTCACGCTGTACTAGGAAAGCTGCTTGTAGCGCCGACAGCATCAATTTCGGGCTTGGAATGGTCTCCTGTATAGTGACCGGAAGACCGAAGCATATACGGGATGGGTACATGGACCCCAAAACCCTAAACCCTAAAGCCTAAACCCTAAAGCCGAAACCTAAAACCCTAAACCCTGAACCCTGAACCCTAAACCCTAAACCCTAAACTCTAAACCTTAAACCCTTAGGGTAAGGAAGTGCGCTCCTAAAAATGCCCCTGTCTGGGAAACTGAGACAGCCCAGGTTGGAGTGCGAGGGACTCAGAGTCTCATCAGGTGTGTCATGGGGTTTAGGGTTTCAGGCTTAGGGTTTAGGGTTTAGGGTTTAGGGTTTAGGGTTTAGGGTTTAGGGATTAGGGGAGTTCTCTAAATTAGGGTCCCTAAAAAGGGTTACTTCCAGGGTTCCTTTAAGGGATCCTTTATGATATCCTTTAAGGGGTCCTATCTGGGTAGTTCTCTAGATTAGGGTCCCTTTTGGGGGTCCTTAAAGGGATCTATACGGGCTTCTATACGGGTTTCTATAAGGGTACAAAAGGGTAGTTCTCTAAATTAGGGTTCCTTTTGGGGCTCCTTTTTATAATGGTGCCGTTCCATATAGGGGTTTTCACCGTACGAATGCTGCGCCCCAAAGGGACCCTCAAAGGAGTGTTTTTGGGTTTTAGAAGAACGGTTCAGGCTGGTTCAGGCTGTAAGGTTACCATGGAGCCGTGGGTGTTAGAATGCGGGTTTGGAGGGGTGTCTTGCAGTATCCAGTATTTGAGGGCTATACTATACGGGGGTATGGCCGTTTTAGGTAGGGACAATGGAATTCTCTGGGCTTGGCAACCTGGAGCTTAGAGTTCCGGGCTTAGGGTTCTAGGTCTCGGACGAAAGGGTTAGGGTTTAGGGTTTAGGGTTTAGGGTTTAGGATTTAGGTTTAGTGTATGGTCCTCTTCATTTGGCAGTTCTGATCCCCTGGTTTCTTGGCTGTGAACCAACAGCTCTAGGCCCCAAAGCCCTGAAGCAATAAACTTTAGGGTTTAGGGTTTAGGGTTTAGGGTTTAGGGTGTAGGGTTTAGGGTTTAGGGTTTAGGGTTTAGGGTGGCCGTTACCGCCGCAACCCTCACCCAACTCACTAAACCCACCTCCTCTTGTCCCCCCCTCACCCCGAAGGACCCAAAAAGGTTCGGGCTGTTGGTTCAAAGAACCCGCAAAACCCTAGTGTAACCCTAAACCCGAACCTAACCCCTCAACCCCTAGACCCTAAACCCCAAGCCCTGAGACCCTCAACCCTCAACCCTAAACCCTCAACCCTAAACCCTAAACCCTAAACCCTCAACCCTTAACCCTACACCCTCAACCCTAAACCCTCAACACCTCAACCCTCTATTCTTATGCCCTAAACCCTCAACCCCTAGACCCTAAACCCCTCAACCCTAAACCCTAAACCCTAAACCCTAAACCCTAAACCCTCAATTCTTATGGCCCTGCCTTACTTTCGGCTTCCAGCCTGGGGATTCTCGAGTTCATGTAGCCCTAAAGGTCTCCTGCCTCCGGTTCCTTTGAGAGTTCGTTTAAGGCTCTGGGTTTAGGGTTTAGGGAGTTGAGGGTTGAGGGTTTAGGGTTTAGGGTTTAGAGTTTAGGGTTTAGGGTTTAGGGTTGAGGGTTTAGGGTTTCGGGCGCCTTGAGGCCTCAACCCCCACCCCTAAAGCCAAAAACTCCCGAATCCCAAGACCCCACCATGCCCATACAGGACCGTCGACTTCCAATGAGTCCCGGCAATAAGCTTTAAGCAACCCTTACAGTACACCTTAAACCCTAAACCTTAAAGCCTAAACCCTAAGCCCTAAACTTTAAACCCTAAACCCTAAACCCTAAAGCCTAAACAGTAAACCTCATACAAGTTGCCAAGGAACCCTAAAAGGATCTTGGAAAGGCACCCCGAACCCACCAATTCTAGCACCCAAGCCCGGGAATCACACCAAAACCCCGGCACAGAGCTTGGATCTCATATGATTCTTCAAATTTAGGCTTACTTTAAACCCAAAAGCCGAAACTCTAGCTCCACAAGACCAGTTACCTCTATCACGGGTCACCACATCCTCTAGCTACAGACGAGCCTTACATGAATCCTCTGAAGCCCACTATTTAGGGGCGGTTCCTTATTTATGATTTCCTGACATAGGTCGTTGGCAAGGTGGGTTATTTTGGGTTTTGAGGTAATATAGAAGCTTGACTTCACTCCTAAAATCCAAATTTTTTTGGCCTTGGATGGCTCCACTGCGAGCCTTCCGTGCGGGAGGCGGGCCTCTTCTTAGCGCACTGCTGCAGGTGTCCTTTTTACCAAAGGGGATCCTTTCAGGGTGAGAAGGACACCAGAATTGTCCACAAGTTTACAATTCTATTTTTGTTTAAAGCCCCCCGCCCTCCTCAGGATTTATCTTGGTAGTGGTTCAGGCTTCCACGGTCTCGAAGGCCTTGGAAGTCAGTTGCCCTCCCCTTTTGTATAGGGCAGGGGTTTTATCTCTGCTCCCACTTTTGAGGGGTCGTACTCTTGCTCCTGCTTTTGGCTCTTGCTGTTGGCTTTTGCTCTTGCTTCTGCTGCGTCTCTTGCGCCTGCTCCTGCTCTTGCTGATGCTCCTGCTCTTGCTACTGCCCTTGCTCTTTCTCCTGCTTTTGGTTTTGCTTTGCTCTTGTTGCTGCTCTTCTGATGCTCCCGCTTTTGCTCTTGCTCCTGCTCTTGCTTTTGCTCTTGCTCTCACTGTGCTCCAAGGGCATTTGGAGCCTCGAGGAGACTACAACCTCCAGCCCTAAGCGCGAGACCTCAAAATGCACGAGAAAGCATCTCATGCCCTAAACTCTAAGCCCTAAACCGTGTGGTGATGGAGATGGGAGCTGTTTTCACTAAGGTGGGGGGGCAAATGCGCTGTGTTTCCGAGGTCCTCATTGGTGTGCTCAATATTGTGAAGTATGTATATATATATATATGTATGCATGTATGTATTTATGTATGTATATACATAGGTGGAGCGTTGTGATATACCACCCCATTAGCTGAGGGAGGGGTCGGCATCTGCCCGAAGTTAACTTTGGGCATTCGTCAGCAGTTTAGTATCTCACCACGTTGAGGTAGTGCTCAAGGTCGAGCCATGCCGAGCGTGCTGGGCAAGCACCAAGAGGATTCTGATCCCCAGCACTTTGATCTCGAGGATGTTGATCCAGAGGTGTGGTTCGGCACTAACGACCCAATTCCGCCTGAGTTTCCGGAAGGTTCAGAGGAAGATGAAGGGGACGACGGAGTTGTCGAGCTGATGCAGCAGGGCGTTGCCTGTATCAACCAGATGAAGGCGACGCGGCCAGAAATATTACGTGGTGTCCGTGTTTGGAAGCTGTTGCATTTTTTGCCGCCGACGTGGCTACGAGGCTATCTCACGGATCTGTACGGATTGAGTCAGCAGACAACGCATCTGGATCAGTTTTGGTCCCACAGCTGGCAGGGGTCGCGGTGGACCAAGTATGTCACTATGCTTTACCTGCATAATTGCATGCCGGCAAGCATCGCAGGAACATTGAGCACCGGCGTAGCCTGCGGCCTCGTCTCAGCAGGATTTCTGGGTGCACGACAGGGAGGGTGTGTGCTGTTCTGGTTTGTCGCCTTTTGCGTAGCTTTGCTACTTTGGCGTCCGCGAAAGCTGGTGTTTTTTGACATCGCATGCATTCACCAAACTGACGGACGAGCTCAGAAAGGGGGAGGCCATCATAAGTATGGGTGCATTTTTGAATCAGTCGACTTCCATGCTGATTCTGTGGGATCCTACATGGGTCACAAGACTGTGACTTGCATTCACATAAGGTTTTTGTCTTAAACCAATGTTGCACCAGCCTTTCGTATGCCGGACCTTGGAGCCCTCAGAAGCTAAGGTGGTGCATCTTCGAAGTCGCTGCATTTCTACACAGCCGCAGTCCCGGTTGCAAGGTAGATCTACAGATTATTCCTCCTTTGCTAGGGCCAACGCTTCTGGGCTTTGAGATGCTGATCTGCGTGCTAAACGTTCTAACTTCTACATTGAATCCTCCGTGGCCTCTTCAGACGAGGCAGTCGTGGGAGAACAGTTGGCATTGCTCTGTGGTCCTTTGTCCCTGCGTGAGTTCAAGGTTGAGCATGCTAGAAGCGCTTGCCGCGACCGCAATGAAGACAGGCCTCTACCCGACGCTGCGTGGTACAACTCACTGGGCAGCTTTGAAGCGCAAGTGCAAACCGAAGTGCGGATGGCCGTCATCGATCAGCTTGCATACAAAGTCTTCTCTTATCAGCGTGCCTTGCTAGTCTTGACTCCACATGCCTGGCTTCGTCTTGAGTATGCAACCAGCCATGCAGGAGATCCCATCCGGCAGATAGTCGACCTGGCCCAGATGTTCACTTATGTGCTGGCCATTTTCCCGGTGGTGGACAACTGTGCTACCGCCTGCGAAGACGACGTCGTCAGCTATACTTGGACTTCTTGCCATCGATGGCCATCGTGTTCGGGGCTTTCATGATCTTCGGCGCCTGCTATGCGATCCAGCTTTATGTCAACCCTAAACCCTAAACCCTAAACCCTAAAACCCTCTATGCTTTCCGTCAAAACGAACCAGAGCTGTTCCTGAGTGTGATCTCAATGCTTGCATGGTGGAGGGTCGCAGCCATCCTGTGGCGATTCATTTGAGCACAAGACCCAAACTTGGCCTTACGGCTTCCGACTAAAAGCCAATAATTGGCTGTTAGTCGGAAGCCGTAAGGCCAACAAAATTGAACTTGAAGTCTGAAACATCAATCCCTGAACCCAAAAGTCACGTGGCGGCCCAAGGCCAACACTTCAATTCGGGTTGACTTAGACTCAATAGTTGGCCCAGTTTGCATAATGTTCCACTTTTGCCATCACGTTTCCAGCCCACGCCCATGGCAAAATGACGGCCCATGGCTTCATTTTCAACCGTTAGGTTTAGGGTTTAGGGTTGGGTTTCCTTCCTGGAGGAACCTGTGCTTTAAACCCTAAGCCCTAACCCCCAAGCCCTAAGCCCTAAACCCTGAACCCTAAATCCTAAACCCTAAGCCCCAGGTAAGCCCTAACCTGTGCGTCCGAGTGGCCAAAGAGCTCCCAGGCGAGCTCGGAAGAGAACGGCACAGCATAGCCATGTGGGTAGTTCTCTAAATTAGAGCACCTTTTTCGGTCCCCAATATAGTACTTTTATAAGGACCCTAAAAGGGACCCTAATTTAGAGAACTACCTATATGGGTAGTTCTCTAAATTAGGGTCCCTTTTAGAGTCTTTTTTTTATAAGGGTGCCGTACTATCTTGGGGACCCTAAACCCTAAACCCTAAACCCTAAACCCTAAACCCTAAACCCTAATTTAGAGAACTACCCATGTAGAGGCTTGAGGAAGGCTGACAGTTGCGAGATCTGGTTTTAGGGTTTAGGGTTTAGGGTTTAGGGTTTAGGGTTATGTAGTTCTCTAAATTAGGGTCCCTTTTAGAGTCTTTTTCATAAGGGTGCCGTACTATTTTGGGGACCTAACCAGGGACCCTGAACCCTAAACCCTAAACCCTAATTTAGAGAACTACCCATGTAGAGGCTTGAGGAAGGCTGACAGTTGCGAGATCTGGTTTAGGGTTTAGGGTTTAGGGTTTAGGGTTTAGGGTTTAGGGTTTAGGGTTTAGGGGTTCTTAGTATCGATATGATATAAGCCCCCCCCCTTTTCAACGCAAGTCAGAGTCCAACAAGTTGCTAGGATACCTACAGTCAGGTTGAGCATGAACCTTAAACCCAAGTTAGCTCTAGATCCTAAAGCCTAAACAATGGACTTTATCTGAAACCCCAAACCCTACACCCTCGACCCTAAACCCTGAAGCCTAAGCCCGAAACCCTGAACTCCTGAACCCCAAAGCCTTAACCCTAAACGGGTTTAGGGCAAAGTTTAGGGTTTCAATAGGAGGATCCTAGGATCTAGGTTTGGGGTTTAGGGTCTAAAGGGTTTAGGGAAGGGTTACACTTGTTTGAGTTGGGGTTGTTGGTGGATATAACCTGCATGATTTAGCAACCCAGTGTGGCTTCACTGCTGTAGTGTGGTTTGGTGGTTGAGGATTTGGCTTGAGTGCCTAAGCCCTAAACCCTAAACCCTAAACCCTAAACCCTAAACCCTAAACCCTAAACCTAAACCCTAAACCCCTAAACTTGGCTTGAGTGATTGAGGTGTTTGGCTTGGGGTTCAAGGGCAGGTGGGGGGTCGAGCAAGAGACATAGTATTCGGGCTAACATGGGGGGCCTAAATAATTACGGAAACTATTTTTTGGGGGGCTCTTTATTATGATTATAGTAGAAGCGACCTCCTTGTTCTGATTATAGTAGAAGATACCGCACCCCAAAACCCTATTCTAACGATTCATGCCCCCATTTCCCTAAGCCCGCAGCCGGTGCAGGTTGCCGTCGTCGCTTGGCTGTCCTGCGCCGTGCGAAGCGTCCGCGGCCGCGCGTGCAGACGAGGTCGATCGGCTTCTCTAATCCCGAAGGGTCCAATGTACCTATATTGTAGAATGTAGGGCTTCTATATTAGGAATAGATATTATGGTTTGGGAAGGTATCCCCTATAGCAGTGCCTAGGACCCTTGTACATAGGTTTCGGATAGTAACTATGTAGCTTACTATTGGGAGAGTGTATGATTATTAGGTACTTGGACCCTTAGGGTAATGTGGGGGCCTTAACAATAAGCAATACTGTTTTGGGGGGTTGTAATTATGCTCCTTAAGGGAAAAAGAGCTACTATATAATAAGCAATACTAGTTTGGGGGTCCTAAGTATGTTCCTTAAGGGAAGAAGGGGTTACTATAAGTGTGTAGAGTAGGGGTCTTCATAATTAGAATAGGGTTTTGGGGTCAGAATATGATACTTTGGAACTATACTAGGGATTACTATCGGCATCTATTGAAGCTTATATAGTATTGGGTTCAGAGTTTAGTATTGGGTTCAGAGTTTAAAGTCCACAATAGGGTTTTGGGCTTGGTGCATTATGGATTAGGATATACGCTTTGGGAAGAACGTGTATTCAACATGCAGAGGCCATATAGAACCCGAGATTTTACGAAGCTTTCGTAACCCTAAACCCTACACCCTAAACCCTAAACCCTGAACCCTGAACCCTGAACCCTAAACCCTAAACCCTAAACCCACGGAGCTGCCAGAGGATGAGAAGAGCGAGGAGGGTGTCAAACACCTCTGCGATCTTTTTCAGAGCTTTGGGGTTTAGGGTTTAGGGTTTAGGGTTTAGAGCTTTGATTGGCGCCTCGAAGATGCTTTCGAGGAAGCTGGCGAAGACGCGCCGCTCAACCCCGTCCGGGACTTTCTGCAGACAGTTGGTTTAGGGCTTGGGGGTTTAGGGTTTACGGCTTAGGGGCTTAGGGGTTTAGGGGTTAGTGTTGTCCCGTATCGCCACGAAGGGGCAATGAACACCCCCGAGCCTTCTGAGTCATCAGCTTCCTTTTCACAGCGCCGAGCTTGGATGCTGTAGGGTTCAGGGTTTAGGGTTTACCCATAGGCCCTAAAGTAGTTCCTTTTTGGGATTCCCTAATGGGATTCTAAATATGAACTCCAAAAAGGAACTACTTTAGGGCCTCTGGGTAGGGTGTAGGGTCGGGGAGAGAAGCAAGCAAAGACTCGACTCCTTGATGACGAGGCCACCGGACAAGACTAAGGTAGACCACTTGGGTAGTTCTGTAAATCAGGGTCCCTTTCCCGCAGGGTCCAATGTACATATATAGTAGAATGTAGGGTTTCTATATTAGGAATAGATATTATGGTTTGGGAAGGTATCCCCTTATAACAGTACCTAGGGCCCTTTGGGTTTTTAGGTTTTCAATATAGTACAGCCCCCTCATAAAAAGGCAACCTTGGGCGTTAAGGGCCTCAGTAGACTCCCAGGTGTACTCCTTGTAGAGGCGGGTCCCAGACCCCCAAAAGGCTCTAAAAAATAGATCCCCTAAGGAGG